GGCATCATTGTCTCCATGTAAGGGTTTTCAGTATTCTCTATTTCATTTATTACCTCGTCCTAGAAGTGAGAGATCAACTTTACCTTGTGCAGAGACAGGTAAATATAACAAGTTAAGATCATAGCTATCGGAGAATAAACTATTCACAGCCATGTTATGCACCAGAAAATCACACAGGAGGAAGGCGAGACAAGTGGAATATCAATTATCAATGTACCATAAATCATTGGTGTTGTCCCTATTTCTGACTGAGCCTGTAGATGGGTCAAAGATCTCAAGATAAAATGTGACTGCTTGTCTTAAATTCAACAGCCATTAAAATTTGTGTTTTTTTTTTGCTTTTGCCCTTGAAAGGGCGACCAACATATTGTGTTGGGTGTACAGCCAGGTTGTGATAGCTACATTTTTTAGCCGAACACATCCAAAATCAGCAAACCAGTAACTTTTACTGTTTTACAACATGATAACTGGTTGCCTTTTACTGTTTTACAACATGATAACTGGTTGCCTTTTACTGTTTTACAACATGATAACAACTGGTTGCCTTTTACTGTTTTACAACATGATTGTTAGAGAGGAAGTCGGCCCAGGAGCCCAATATCCATTTGAAATATCAATTTTCGTTTTACATTTTACAAGCTGAGGTTGATCTCTTCAAATTATTGCTTTGGTGAACTTATGCACGTATTTATGTTATATTCTACGTACAAATAAATATTTAAACTTTAACATAATGGAACAGTCAGGGAGTTTCTACAACTAATTATTCAACAATAAAATAAACAGAAGTAAAATAGTAAAAAGAACATAAACTGCAATAAACTCAAAGTATGCTCAATTAACAAGCCTTTTGAAGTCATTCTGCTCACAGTACCTACAACCGTTCAAGGGAATTTTACATCCAGCCAGATTATAATCTATTTAAGCAGTATAGACTTGAAACGTTTGAAGACAAAACTCAGAAAATATGATAACATTTTAGGAATACAGTCATACAATCCTGAGTGTTAGAAAATGACACGGGGAATTCACATTAACTAAAGAATTTTTCTGAATAAATGTCCAAAGAAAATCCTGCGAATATATATAGATGTATATATATATATATATATATATATATATATATATATATATATATATATATATATATATATATATATATATATATATATATATATATATATATATATATATATATATATCTTCTGGCCAAGAAAGATCACAAATGAAGAACCGGGGTGGAAAACAAAATATCCATCATTAGCAAGTATTATCAAAGGAAGAAGATGGAAATCACGTTTGCAGAATGTCACAAGACATCCTACAAAAGCAACTCTACATTGAAAGACAGTTTGAAGCAGTAGGCGTGGACAACCTAAAGAGGAGAACAGTAAAAAGGGAAATGAATAAATGCAAGTCAGTTGTGAATGCCTTTTGTGTCAACAGTGAAAGGATGAGGATAGGACTCGAATGGTAGGTTGCATTGGGGAGATGTGGCTAGGTCCACATTTCAAGGAACAACTGGGCAGACAGTCAGCTCACTGTTTCTAGAATCACTTCTGATCAAATTTCATGAAACTGGATTATTTCAAATCCCATACTGGTTATGAAGTTATTTTATATGGCTCTGAAACCTGGATATAACTAAAAGAGATGAAGACTTATTATAAATTTTGAAAACAGAATCTACGACGAATCTCTGCCCTATCAAAGATTCAAACAGCGGGGAATGGAGAGTGAGAAGCAACAATGAAATTCACAGTCTGCTTAAATCACCACTGATCACTGGCATCGTGAAGGCTTATAGACTAGAATGGCTGGGGAATATTGAAAGAATGTCAGATGGCAGAGGGGTAAAACTGTGTACACAAGGGAAGGAGCTGAATGATGGTAGACCATGAGAAGGCCAACCAGACAGATAAACAGAGGCAGGTGATATCTGCAGCAATGAACCTCAACAACCAGACAGATAAACAGAGGCAGGTGATATCTGCAGCAATGAACCTCAACAACCAGACAGATAAACAGAGGCAGGTGATATCTGCAGCAATGAACCTCAACAACCAGACAGATAAACAGAGGCAGGTGATATCTGCAGCAATGAACCTCAACAACCAGACAGATAAACAGAGGCAGGTGATATCTGCAGCAATCAACCTCAACAGTCAGAATGCTGAAGAAGATACTGGAATAAAAATATTACTTCTGCAACTATTTAAACTAAATAAATGTATAATACTTTAGTGTAGCCTATGGCTTAGAGGTAGGTGAATGAGTTTAACAATTCTTGATCTACCTCAGCTTTATGTCCATTTCATTAGGAAAAATACTATTCTCACGACTTTTGAGCATTGTATGAGAGTGGCACCATGAAAATTATTAGGGCCTTACCACACAATAATTGGGAATCAGCAAATATCCACTGCAGCCAACCTACATTGCGAAGACAGAACAGACAGTAATTAAATTAATAATTAATACTTCAAATTTTGAAAAATTCAGATTTGGAATAGAACTGAAACAAAAACCTGGCCTTGCAACAATAAGTTATGATGTAGACACTCTTGTTTATTTAAAGATGGAAAAGTCTGGTAGTGTCTGTCAGAAGACATTTGTCACAATGTGACCATACTGATGTAGAGTTTTGTATGTGTATGTAAATCATACTGATGTAGAGTTTTGTATGTGTATGTAAATCATACTGATGTAGAGTTATATATGTGTATGTAAATCATACTGATGTAGAGTTTTGTATGTGTATGTAAATCATACTGATGTAGAGTTATATATGTGTATGTAAATCATACTGATGTAGAGTTATATATGTGTATGTAAATCATACTGATGTAGAGTTTTGTATGTGTATGTAAATCATACTGATGTAGAGTTATGTATGTGTATGTAAATCATACTGATGTAGAGTTATGTATGTAAATCATACTGATGTAGAGTTATGTATGTGTATGTAAATCATACTGATGTAGAGTTATTTATGTGTATGTAAATCATACTGATGTAGAGTTATGTATGTAAATCATACTGATGTAGAGTTATTTATGTGTATGTAAATCATACTGATGTAGAGTTATGTATGTGTATGTAAATCATACTGATGTAGAGTTATGTATGTGTATGTAAATCATACTGATGTAGAGTTATGTATGTGTATGTAAATCATACTGATGTAGAGTTATGTATGTGTATGTAAATCATACTGATGTAGAGTTATGTATGTGTATGTAAATCATACTGATGTAGAGTTATGTATGTGTATGTAAATCATACTGATGTAGAGTTATGTATGTGTATGTAAACCACTACCCTCTCCTTGACCGTGTATGTAAATTAAAGTATTCATATAAACATAAAGACACATAAAGAAGTGAGCTCTGCATTCAGTGCTAACTATAGTTTTTAATCAAGCTATTCGCATTCGGGGTGAGATGTGGTGAATTTAATGTCACTTTACTTTCAAGAGCATTTCTGTCTGTTTCCTCTTTGTATATCTGTTAACACATAACATGTTTCAGGGCTGCTCTTGGGGTTCCGATCAATTTAAACTATTCATCTAAGCACTGTATTTGTATAAATCTGTGTGTGTGAAGAATTAGCCTCTCTTAAACTATTCATCTAAGCACTGTATTTGTTTATATAAATCTGTGTGTGTGTGAAGAATTAGCCTCTCTTAAACTATTCATCTAAGCACTGTATTTGTATAAATCTGTGTGTATGAAGAATTAGCCTCTCTTAAACTATTCATCTAAGCACTGTATTTGTATAAATCTGTGTGTGTGAAGAATTAGATTCTCCTAAACCATTAATGGCGTGGATTTTTATCATGGTATGGGGCTTTGCAGGTGGACCCAGCCTAAAGTGGGTACCAGGATGTATGTCCTGGGGAAGTAAAGACGGCCAGCGTAATGCTGATCATATTACCCACTTAGTGCAGATTGGTCTGTAAAAGTATGGATGCTCTTCCCATATGCCCAAAGCGCCTAAGCGTGAAGAGGGATCTTTACTTTACTTCTTTTTATACCATTTAAGTAATGTGGGTACAAGTAATGTTGTCTGATCCAGGCATACCATGATTGGCCATTTATTCATGCTTGCTAGCCTCTCACCTGCGCTAGTCTAAGTTACAGGGGAGTTACGTTATGTTCTGTTATGTATATATTGCGCGTTGTGTTACCGGTCAGGTACACCTTGTGTTTTACTCATTGTTCTGAGCGGTTCCTGACATTGCCTTCTCGCACTTTAAGATCGACGTGAATTTACTTCAGTGTCAGTGTTGACGACACACAAGGAGAGGAGCATTGCTTTTCTGCAGCAACTAGGGCTGGCCGCAAAATTCTAACAGTTCTGAAACCATGGGACGTAGGCTGCAGTCTCTCATGAGATGTAGGCTGACACTGTGGGATAAGGGAGTTGGGGTTAGGGCCAGTTCTTGATCTACTGGGTTTGTTAAAAGCTGTCACATTGTGTAATACAGAGCACGTGTCATCGCCGCTGAGAGAGTCAAAGACATACAACGTGACTCCCCAGTAACTTAGACACCAGCCTATGTAAAAGGTTAGTAAGCATGACTGAACGGCCAATCACAGTTATTCCTGGACTGGCTAACGTTATTTGTACCATAATGTGTATATACACACATGCACATGTGTTGTGTGCACACACATACACACACACACAAACATATACATAAAATATTAACCTACCATGAACCATCACTATCAAATAATTTGTTTTAATACTTGGCTAATCTACTCTGCGGAATGACTAATGACAATTAAACACTCTCAGAATCTCTGAAGATGCTTTTTTTTCGTTGCCCATTACGTTTTTGTGTGTTTGGCCACAATAATTAAAAAAACCTGGTAAGACTAAATCAAGGGACATAACTCTCAATTTCTCAATTGTCACAGCCATACCCTAGGTCACTTAAACACACACACATACCACACATCTATATACATATAAAACTCAGAGATGAAATTCTACTATCTGATGTTATTGTTGCAGTAACAGTACTGTCGTATTTGCTTATTCTTTTCTAAAATGCATGCAGGGTCATTACCATATTTATTTATTCTGCTGATTTCTTTATCACTGACATAAAACTTTTTGTGCACTAAATCATGGGTAACTGTCACCTCAAAGTGACCTCCCCCTGGGGTGGTTTGGAAAGTCAGTTGATAGAGCTCCAACTCGTTTTTATTTTTTGCTGAAAAATCAATTTTGTAAATTCCACCATTGCTGTCAGTCTGCTTAAACTGCAGTACTTCCTGTCTTGTCTCCATCTTTGTTGCCATAGTAACATTGGCTATAAACAAGAGGGCACAGTCATCCCTATATTTAGCAGTGTAGTTATTTATAGTATCCAGTGTGTACTGTAGTGCCAGTTTGGTGTTGTTTTCGGCCAGGGACACATTTTTCCAGGCTAAACAGGCACACCAATGAGGCGCGATGCTTGCGTGGTCACAAGAACGCTCTAGCGGGACCTCTTGGAATAAACTTATCCCTCGTTTGGATACATTGGTCTCAGCACTCTCGTTATAGTGGATTATATCCTGAAAGGTTTCGTACAGGTCAAACGGAGTGGTCAGACGTTTTGTGTTGGTGCGAAGATTTTTTATGGCTTCTGGATATTTCTTCTCAAACCAGTCGGGAAACAGAAAGCTGAAATATGGCAGCCGCTCCTCCAGTTTTCCTGACCAGGTGGAGCGGATGAAGCTGTAGCGAGCTCCGTGGTCACCCATAAGAATTAATAGCGTGTTGTTGAGGTAGTTGCCTTCGTAGAGAAACTCCACCAGTTTCTGGATGTCATCGTCCATCTGAAACATCATGGGTACAATTATATTAGTGTGCACATAACTCACTTGGTAATATGAATGAGGTGGTGGAGAGGAGGAGAAAATGAAGGAGAGTAGGTGGAGGAGAAAATTATGGAGGAGAGGATGTTGGGGAGGAAGACATGGTGCAGTTGCAGTTTGATTGACTGAGGGAATAGTGCAAAAGCAACAGAAAGGGAGTGTGCAGGAGAAGAGGGAAGTGGAGGATGATGACAGATAAAAGAATGTTTGATGGAGCAGAAGACGGTGCAAAAGGAGAGGAGAAAACATAAAGTTGGAGACAAAGTAGATGGATGTGGAGACTCCGGAGGGGGATAAGATGAAGATGGTAGAAGAAAATGATGGGGTGACAAAAAACTGTCATGGACAGTAAACTAATAACAGTGCAGAAGTCAACTGAGAGCACATTTTTGTTTTCCATTTCAAGAGAGCATGGGGTGATGATGAAGATACTGATGAGTAATTTCATTTGAATAATCTATCAGGTGGATTTGATAATGTTGATGATTATAATGACAATAATGATGAAGCTGGTCTACGAGGGAAGCTTTGACAGGCGGACAAAAAGAGCACTGCTCTTCTGATCCGGCAGCTTCTGCAGCCTGCTTTGTTCCAAACGTACTGGTTTTACCTTTCCTTTGGAGTAAACAAGGCAGGTAGATGGGCAACATATGGTCTCTACAATACTGCCCAGGCTTTGGTGCTATGGAGAGGAGGAACTTCATCCCTGGTCTGAATCATGCCATGGACCGTGTTGTGTGGAAAGGGCATATCAAGAAGGGAATGAGACTGAAGGAAGAAATGATTGAAGAAAGCATAAGAGCTGAGCATCTGAAAAGAAACGGATTAAACACAAATGTTGTTATCAATGGTCCTGAAATCCCATGCTATCATTGTTGAAGACTTTTCTTGACACAGGCGGGTTTTGCTAGTCACACTCGCCATCGCCATGGGCTGTAAGTCTCATGCCTCCTCATAGCGCAATATAACACTATTGCCTGGAAAGATGGAAAGGTGTCAATGATCCAATGAATTATGAAGACAGTGTTTTGGAAAGGGTTTTTCTTCTACTGTTAACTCCTTCACTACAAAGCAACTCCCAAATTTTCTTTCTCCTTCTTCTTCTTTTCTCTATTGCTGAAATGCCTTGCAGGTTCAAGAGAGCATGGATACAGACAGAAAGAGATCCCTGGAACGGGCCGTTCTGTTCACTTCATACAAAGTACTTTTTAGCACCTCCGATATTTGTGCAGTCCATGTTCTGGTAGGTCTACCTCTGACTCTGTTACTGCTGAACCTGAACACAATTCCTCTCTGTGGTGTCCTGTCTGTTGCCTGTCTTGTTTCATGGCTAATATCTGATCTGATCTGTTGTATGCTGACAAAGTTTCTCCTGATATCATTCCTAAGTTGATCTTTCCTTGTTACACCAAGCATAATACATCAACATTTTATTTCTGTCACGACTATTTTTCTTTTTTCTTCTGAAGACAGTGTTCATGTTTGATTAGACAACAAAGCGTTGGTGCACTTACCATGTCTTCTTGACCGGATTTGAAACGTTTAATGGTTAGCCCAAAACAGTACACATTAATGACTCTCTTCTCAAACAGTTACTTATTACATTATCTCATTGTATCAGAATTGTTATGTTAGTTCCTTCTATCCTACCATCATCATCAATCCGCAAGTCCTTTACAAGATGTAGCTCTCTTCACGGCACGCCTGAAAGTATCCCTTCCTCTAGCCAGCTCTCCAGCCCCATGTGCTTTCATTTCCAACACATCTTCAATGTCCTGTATCCACTTCCAGGAAGGTCGACCCCTGCTATCCTACTGTGTTTATATCTTAATTTCTTCAGACTCAAACATTTCTACTTTGAACTACAGCAACACCTTGTTTATGGAAATTCCCGGAGACCACAAAATCAAGAGTTCATTTTTTTAAAAACGTGCTCTCATGGGACTCAAAGATTTATTAATTATTATCCTAGCAAAAAGACTCCCTGGTGCTGAAAGAGTTAATGTTGATCGCACGTCTAAGTGGTGAAGCAGTTAAACCACTTGCTCAAGCTCTGAGGGTTGTGGATTCAATTTCGCCCTCCATCCGTCCTGAAGAATGTGAATGTTGGTGTTCCCAACAGTCTTGCGAATGTTGGGCACTGTCTGGGCAAACACTCTCTAGGCAAATACTCTCTGGGCAAATACTCTCTGGGCAAATACTGTCTGGGCATACACTGTCTGGGCAAACACTCTCTGGGCATACACTGTCTGGGCAAACACTGTCCAGGCAAACACTGTCCAGGCAAACACTGTCCAGGCAAACACTGTCCAGGCAAACACTGTCTGGGCAAACATTGTCCGGGCAAACACTGTCCAGGCAAACACTCTCTGGTCAAACACTGTCTGGGCAAACACTGTCTGGGCAAACACTGTCTGGGCAAATACTGTCTGGGCAAATACTGTCTGGGCAAATACTGTCTGGGCAAACACTGTCTGGGCAAACACTGTCTGAGCAAATACTGTCTGGGCAAACACTGTCTGGGCAAACACTGTCTCGGCAAACACTGTCTGGGCAAATACTCTCCGGGCAAACACTGTCTGGGCAAACACTGTCTGAGGAAATACTGTCTGGGCAAATGCTGTCTGGGCAAACACTCTAGGCAAACGCTGTCTGGGCAAATACTGTCTGGGCAAACACTCTCTGGGCAAATACTGTCTGGGCAAACACTCTCTGGACAAGCACTCTCTGGGCAAGCACTGTCTGGGCAAGCACTGTCTGGGCATATACTGTCTGGGCAAACACTGTCTGGGCAAACATTCTCTGGGCAAATACTCTCTGGGCAAACACTGTCTGGGCAAGCACTGTCTGGGCAAATGCTGTCTGGGCAAATACTGTCTGGGCAAACACTCTCTGGGCAAATACTGTCTGGGCAAATACTGTCTGGGCAAGCACTGTCTGGGCAAACATTCTCTGGGCAAACATTCTCTGGGCAAACACTCTCTGGGCAAACACTGTCTGGGCAAACACTCTCTGGGCAAATACTGTCTGGGCAAACACTCTCTGGGCAAATACTGTCTGGGCAAACACTCTCTGGGCAAGCACTGTCTGGGCAAACACTCTCTGGGCAAACACTCTCTGGGCAAACACTGTCTGGGCAAGCACTCTCTGGGCAAGCACTGTCTGGGCAAACATTGTCGAGGCAACTGTTAGTATTAACAGTTTTAAGACAGAAAAGATGGCGTTACAGTCGACACGTTCTTGGTAACAAAAAATTAGCATAGAATCACTAAACATATACTGAAATGGGAAATACTGGGTTCCAGGAGGCGAGGACGCTTAAAGAAACCTCAAAATGAACGTGATTGAGAGAGATCAAAGGTGCTAGACTGGATTCCATCAATTATATTGAAATCAATGCACCAGGTAGAACAGAACGAGGAATAGACTGTTAGCCTTATGAGACATGTAATGACACAATACTTTCTGTTACTTGATTAATTCATGACACAACAGGACAACCCTGATGTATGCTTGACTTTTAAAACAGTCTGTACATTTCCTCTTCTTTTCTTCTTCTTTGCGTTTGGTTTCGTATGCTCAGATCAGACCATCAGGTGGGTTGCCTCTATGAACTCTCATATCAGTAGCAGGTCCTTCATGGTTCCTCAAAGCTTGGCCAGGTGTCTTTCTAAAGTTGTAGGTAGACTGGGCAAGTCTGCAAAATGTGCCACTGTGTTTGTGGTCCTGTTTGACATGCACACTGTGGGAAGTGTATATTCTTTATTTTATACATTTGATAGTTGAGCCTGCAGTGTCCTGTTCATAGACTGATGGCGTCTTGTGGATGTGTACTGTTTGTCTGTTTTCTCCACAATTCCTTGTATTTACCCCTGTAAATATGATAACGGTTGTTGCTTGTGTTGCCGCTGACAATGATGATGGTGACAAATGATGATGGCAAAGAGGTAAATGACGGAAATGATAATGTTGATAATAATAAAACTGAAACATACCAAAGACATCAGGTTGTTGTCGTCATGGCTGAACTCCGTGATGAAGTGGAAGAGAAACTTCCGCTTATTTTTGTACATCTGAAAAATATCCTTGAAATAATTGAGCCACACTTGGCTCTGTGTCCTTGACCCTAGGCAGATTTTCGGGGAAGGTAGCTTTTTATCGCCGTGAACATACAGGTAAAACGGTCGGGAATAGAAGTCCGTTGGCTTCTCTGAAAACCCCAGCATTCTCCAGTTGAAAGGTGCAGCCAGTGGGGAACCATTGCACCACGACGTTAGGTAGCCCAGGCTCTTCATCTTGTGCCAAAGGAAGGGGAAATTATCCAGCGTTGTTGCTCCTTTGAACCCGCGTCTGTGGGTGAAAGGAGATAGAAAGTGTTATGTTTGGGTATGTGTTAGTTTGGCGGCAAAAGGGTATATATACACTAGGGACACGGTAATCTGGGGTTTGAATCCACTTGAGTCTTTCACTCTCCCCCCCCCCCCCAACCCCATCCCATCCCCTAATGTTATTTATAACTGTCGTACTTTATTAATATCCCACCCCAAACAGGAGAAATCCACAGGTCACGAGACAGTCTAATATTTCATGGGGTGGTAAATAGGCTGCACAGTCTCGTGGGAAGTAGGTGGGTTGGGGTTAGGACCAGTTTTAGATGTTCTGGAGTCGTTAAAAGCATCAGAAAGCCGGGAGACTCAGTCTTACCACTCTCACAAATGTGGGACTGTCCTGTGACGTCATCTGGGGTAGGATATTAATTAGGCACCATTACTGTTTTTAAAGATAGGGCCAGAAATTTTGTAAGGATGTTACGGAATCCCCTTAAAACATGCATAGACATTCTCTTAAAAGTATTTGTTTTATACATTTCAAACCATAATATATTAAAACGGCTCTCATTTGGCACCCAGACCGAAACATGGGAGACTACTGCACAAGACCGATTTGGATGGCGTACAGTCGTCAAACATGGTGTATCAGCCTGCCAGGCAGCGAAGATTGCTTTCGAGGAGAAACAGAAGCAGACCAGAAAGACCCCTGTGGCAAATCCACCTTAACTGTTGCTTCCACACTGCTCCAGAACTCTACGTGCTCATCAGTCATCTCCGTACTCACAGTTATTGATCATTATTAGGTTTGTATACAAAGAGGGCTGCATCCCTTGTGATGGATGAATGACTTACTATATTAAACTAACATTGTGTCCTCTCTCCAGTAAATTACTGTTTCAAATCCTCATCCTCCTTCTTCTTCTTTTTCTTCTTCTTCTTCTTCTTCTTCTTCTTCTTCTTCTTCTTCTTCTTCTTCTTCTTCTTCTTCTTCTTCTTCTCCTTCTTTTTCTACTACTTCTTCTTCTTCTCCTACTCCTCCTCCTCCTCCTCCTTCTTCTTCTTCTTCTTCTTCTTCTTCTTCTTCTTCTTCTTCTTCTTCTTCTTCTTCTTCTTCTTCTTCTTCTTCTTCTCTTCTTCTTCTTCTCCTACTCCTCCTTCTTCTTCTTCTTCTTTTTCTTCTTCTTCTTCTTTTTTTTTACCTGTAAATCCCTTCTTCGTTTTCCTACTGCTATCTCCCTGTGAATTCTAATATAAAGCCCCTCTAGTTATACTGTTTTTAGGCGAACAAATTCCGGTGAATCAGGAGGGGCAGAAAGGATACTGTGGTTGGATGAGAGACAGGTTGGGAAAAGCTGACAATCTGTGGAACCAGCCATCGATTATTGCCTGCTGTTTCCACTGGCTGCACCGGTCTGACCCCAGGCCCAACAAATGCCAGGACACAGCGTATCTGTACATTCTCATAAATATGCAAATAATACGCGGGAGGCCCATCAGGGATTGAAAAGAGGAGGGTGGGGGATGGGCCCATTGGTTATACTGTTTTTAAAGAAGTATATATAAGGTGGGTATATGATCACAACACTTCTGACGGATCTTAAGGTGAAACGACCAATAACGCATTTTCTGTGTTTGATAATCAAAGTATATATATATATATATATATATATATATATATATATATATATATATATATATATATATATATATATATATATATATATATATATATATTAGATTAAATTAAACGGTTTCGCCTGTGATAGTGAAAGAAAAAAAAAGTATTTTTCCGTTCTCTACCTCATCTTGGTCTTCACCGGTACCCTGTATGTAAACTAGTGGAAATAGCGGTCTAACTAAAACCCTGTATTTAATATTACCTCTTCTACTTCATTGTTGTCCCCACCGCTGCCGTATCTTTAGTTACTGCCCGTAAGTGCATCTGCGGTGACTAATACCAGTATTTAACAGTTTGGGAGACAGACAAATGTAATTTTAACACTTATAGATTTCTGGTTTCAAGGGAGACAACAACTACACATAGCTTTTACAAACTACTTGTCCAATGGAGATAATTCATTGGGATATAAGTCCAGCAAAAGTTTAATTTTACTGACTGTCGCAAGATTGTCCGAGAGAGAAGTTATCGGGAAGGCTGACTCGGGCAATAAATCCCTACAGAAGTCGGATGTGTCGGCCGAAGGGTGCAAATATCTCCGCCATACTGCAAGCGAGCACAACCCATTGACAACCTCGGTTGAACGAAGAAGAGGACGAATAAATAACTTTGAAGTTGCTGAAATGGAATTAATTAAGCCAAATGGCTCAGATATAGCAACCCAGCTGTAAACCACAACACAACGTGCCAACCGCATTTTTTAAAGAGCGAACTCAGAAGAAGATAAAAAAGAGACTAATGTTGACCGGCAATAACGTTTTTGTGCTTTACGTAAGCTTCTTGGAGACAAACCCAGGATGGCTAGGATATCTGTGTTGTGTGTCAACACTCCCTCGACTGTGAAGTAGCCACTTATGGCCTGCCCAGATTTGTCGCAACACAACAACAGAAAGACGTAAACAGACGTAAAGAATTAAATTAAATTCAAAAGCAATGATCCCCAGTCAGACTAGACACGGGTATCCCAATCAGACAAGACATGAGGATCACAATCAGACAAGACATGAGGATCCTAATCAGACAAGACATGAGGATCCCAATCAGACAAGACATGAGGATCCTAATCAAACAAGACATGAGGATCCCAATCAAACAAGACATAAGGATCCCAATCAAACAAGACATGAGGATCCCAATCAAACAAGACATGAGGATCCCAATCAAACAAGACATGGGGATCCCAATGAAACAAAACATGAGGATCCTAATCAGATCAGACATGGGGATCACAATCAAACAAGACATGAGGATCCCAATCAGACAAGACATGAGGATCCTAATCAAACAAGACATGAGGATCCCAATCAAACAAGACATGAGGATCCCAATCAAACAAGACATGAGGATCCCAATCAAACAAGACATGGGGATCCCAATCAAACAAAACATGAGGATCCTAATCAGATCAGACATGAGGATCCCAATCAGATAGGACATGAGGATCCCAGTCAGATCAGACATGAGGATCCCAACCAGATAAGACATGAGGATCCCAGTCAGATCAGACATGAGGGATCCCAATTAGATCAGACATGGAGGATCCCAAACAAACAAGACATGAGGATCCCAATCAGATCAGACATGGGGGGTCCCAATCAGATCAGGCATGAGGATCCCAATCAGATCATACATGAGGATCCCAATCAGATCAGACATGAGGATCCCAATCAGATAAGACATGAGGATCCCAATCAGATCAGACATGATGGATCCTAATCAGATCAGACATGATGGATCCCAATCAGATCAGACATGAGGATCCCAATCAGATCAGACATGAGGATCCCAATCAGATCAGACATGAGGATCCCAATCAGATCAGACATTTGGGGGGTCACAATCAGATCAGAAATGAGGATCAGACATGAGGATCCCAATCAGATCAGACATGAGGATCCCAATCATATCAGACATGAGGATCCCAATCAAACAAGACATGAGGATCTCAATCAGATTAGACATTTGGGGGTCACAATCAGATCAGGCATGAGGATCCCAATCAGATCAGACATGAGGATCCCAATCAGATCAGACATGGGGGTCCCAATCAGATCAGACATGAGGATCCCGGTCAAACAAGACATGAGGATCCCAATCAAACAATACATGAGGATCCCAATCAGATAAGACATGATGATCCCAATCAGATCAGACATGATGGATCCTAATCAGATCAGACATAAGGGATCCCAATCAGATCAGACATGAGGATCCCAATCAGATCAGACATGAGGGATCCCAATCAGATCAGACATGAGGATTTCAATCAGATCAGACATGAGGATCCCAATCAGATAAGACATTAGGATTCCAATCAGATAAGACATGAGGATCCTAATCAGATCAGATATGAGGATCCCAATCAGATCAGACATAAGGATCCCAATCAGATGAGACATAGGAGATCTCAATCAGATAAGACATAGGGGTCCCAATCAGATAAGACACGAGGATCCCAATCAGATAAAACATGGGGGGGTCCCAATCATATAACACATGGAGGGGTCCCAATCAGATAAGACATGGGGGTCTCAATCAGATAAGACATGGAGGGTCCCAATCAGATAAAACATGGGGGTCCCAATCAGATAAGACAGGGGTGGGAGGTCCCAATCAAATAAAACACGGGGACTCCCCTTTTCAGTGGCGTACTTAGGGTATCTACTTATGGCAGCAGATGCCCTGAGCGCCACTTGAAAAGGGCGCCCCCTCCCCCCCTCTCCCGCCCAAAAAACCCCATATTTTTTGTGTTTAGCGACAGCGTCTCATCTTTAGGGACTATTTTTTGAAATCTATTTTAACACACACATACACATACGGTCTTTAAACGTAGCCCCAAAATAAAGCAGTGGCTAATGTAAATTGGAACATACATCTGCCCCGCCCCCCCCCCCCCCCCCCCCCCCGCCCTTTCCTTCCGCTCCCTTTTGGGCTCCAAATACCCGAGGTACGCCACTGTCACTTTTATTTTCAAAGGTCTGCCACGAGCTCCTTTTAAAAAAAAAATAATTATTATTTGAGAGAGAGAGCGGGCACACATACGTACACACACACGCACAAACACACCCACAACTGAAAGGGATTGTACTAACTATAATAAATATATATAAATTGCTTTTGTTGGAGTAAGCAACCTGTGGGGTCTGAGAGAGAATGTACCGGCCTATCAGAGAATGGTGGGTCTGAGAGAGAATGTACCGGCCTATCAGAGAATGGTGGGTCTAAAAAAGAATGTACCGGTCTATCAGAGAATGGTGGGTCTGAGAGAGAATGTACCGGCCTATCAGAGAATGGTGGGTCTGAGAGAGAATGTACCGGCCTATCAGAGAATGGTGGGTCTGACAGAGAATGTACAGGTATATTAGAGAGTGGTGGGTCTGAGAGACAATGTACCGGCCTATCAGAGAATGGTGGGTCCGAGAGAGAATGTACCGGCCTATCAAAGAATGGTGGGTCTGAGAGAGAATGTACCGGCCTATCAGAGAATGGTGGGTCTGACAGAGAATGTACCGGCCTATCAGAGAATGGTGGGTCTGACAGAGAATGTACCGGCCTATCAGTGAATGGTGGGTCTGACAGAGAATGTACCGGCCTATCAGAGAATGGTGGGTCTGACAGAGAATGTACCGGCCTATCAGTGAATGGTGGGTCTGACAGAGAATGTACCGGCCTATCAGTGAATGGTGGGTCTGACAGAGAAGGTACCGGCCTATCAGAGAATGGTGGGTCTGAGAGAGAATGTACAGGTATATTAGAGAATGGCGGGTCTGAGAGAGAATGTACAGGTATATTAGAGAGTGTTGGGTCTGAGAGAGCATGTTTTATATATATATATATATATATATATATATATATATATATATATATATATATATATATATATATATATATATATATATATAAAAATCCCTCAGCGCTGACACTTTGTCCCACAGCCGTGGGATAGATGGATACAGACAGACAGACCGACCGACCGACCGACCGACCCACCGACCCACCGACCGACCGACCCACCGACCCACCGACCGACAGATAGACAGACAGACAATCAGAGAGTAAACTAACAGACAGGAGGACTGACAGACACATAGCAGAGGATGGACGGACGGGCATCGGCGGAAAGACTGACAGACAGACAGAGACACAAAGCTGGATGAACAAACACGTATGAAAAGGCAGACAGGAGGAGCGATTCCGGGGCAGCTGATTGGCTTGTAGGTCTTAAAATGCTTCATCATAACAGGATCATTGACCTTCAGTTGTGGGTGTATGCATTCCTGTCTCGACTTGACAACTGCTTCACCCGTTTGTCCACCTGCCACTTGGGCGGTCTCATTTCTGTTGTGAAACTGTGCACTGATTATAGAAAACGAGTGGCCAAAAGGCAAAATGGCAGATTCGTTGGCTGCATAGTATACCAGCAGAACGAAAGACCACATGAAGAAACAAAAGAGAGCGTATTTATTGCATAAAAACTTCATTATCTTTCCCGTGTACATAGCACCAGAACAAGTTAATCTTCCCATGGCAAAGACAAGCAAACACAACTTGGCGCTAAATTCCGCACAGTGGGAACTACTTTCACGGCTAAGTTCCTGGCACTTGTTACATCAATGTCCCTCCGCTAAGAAGAGTCTCATTGTATCCAAGGGAAACCATGAACTCTGTGGACACAAGGCAACATTGATTACTGTTCAGTAACTACCAAGCCACGTTAACAAATAAATGACTAAAACAATTACTTGCAAACTAGGGAATTGAATAATATGATGGAATTACTAAGGTGGAACTTAAGGGTAGAACAATAATTCCAGAGGTGAAGAAAAGCAGTTTGCGTTGGATAGGACGCACATTGAAATATATTAAGGAAAGTAGAGTGCCCTTGCACTAAAATACAGCTACACAAACACACACACGCACACACACATTCACACATGATATATGCAAATGTTCTCATTGAACGAGGACTATTCCAAAATTTTGACCTTCTGCTTGAACAAAAAAAAGCACACCACAAATTGCACAGCTGGCGGAAGCGGCAGTGACAGTGTCCATGTCCATGTCGATTCGTTCTCGGTTCGTGAACCGCTGAACAAATGTGAATCTAGATGGCTGTGTAGTGAGCTAAATGTCTACTGAATGAAGCATGCAATAAACCAGCCAATCGTTTGATTTGGAACAGCCCACGTAGATGTTGTGGGTGTCTTGTGAGCTGAAGTTAAAGTCTGTATATGTCTGTCACAGCAGATGGCGGTTGTGGAAATGGAAAGAAGGATTCAAGCTTTTGAACGTAAATGCTATTGACGCATTTTATGAATTATTTATTTAGAACACGAAACTAATAAATATGTCAGATTTTTGGGGATTTTTTCTCACCGGATTTTCGTTTGAATCGTAACTCCATTTGTAATCACTGGGTATAAATGTTAAAGGCAGCAAATCATAGATAGGATAAAATTATCGTTCGTAGAGAGACAGAACAATGGGGAGGATTGGAGGGGGTTGTCAAAGACACAGGTTTTTTATGAATGTACAATGAAAAGCAAAGGTGCCATAAGTATTGATATTCTGAACATCCCGTGTGGGTTTCGGGGCCCTATTATAGGGAAAACAAGAATAGACCCACTGCCTACCCAAAAGCATGTCGTAAGAGTCGACTAATTTGGAGCTTCCTTCGAAGTCGGAGTGCATCTGCCTGAGAGCAAGGAACCAACAGTCTGCACACAAATGTTTTAGAACTGTCAAACTGATGCACACGCAAAACCCAGGTTTTGGAACAGGGCTGCAGTCCAGAAGTGGACGAACAACCAAAACTTTCCACTGGAGTTTAGAGCTGGTGAACGCAAAGAAGAAGAATTTTCTGAACCAACTAAACATAGCTCAAGGCAACCAACCCCCGCCCTTTCCCCAAGATTATAAAGAGGCTGTCCAACCCCCCCCCCCCCCCCCCCCCCCCCCCCCCTCATGTTATATTCCTAGCGATGCAACCGCTGACCGACTGACTGACTGACTAACTGTCGAGACACGCCGCATACTCCAGTTTAACAAATCCACTTGAACTTGACAGAATGATCTTTCTCGTACATTCTCCAGCCTTCATAAAATGCCCAGAAGTGTGCATAAAAAATGCGCCAACTTTAAATTAATAACAATGGCACTGTTCAAATGGCACAGACCCGGCGCCATCACGTGCCAGGGGTCAGTAGAAACTAGGCCGGGAAACGTTCTTTGGGCAAATACATGGCACAGAACAGTTCAGAATATGCACAGTCTTAGCGCAACTGTTTCTTCTCCATTCTTCCAGTTCTCCCTTGTGGTTACTTTCGCTTGGTAATTTAATCCCTACTCTTGTGTTTGTCTAATTTTTTAGGCAAGATTCCTTTTCAATACATTGTTTTCCCGTAGTAAATTTAAATTACACAAACACGAAGAATGCACAATTGATCCCCTGGCAAATCTCGTTGTTTCTCGTCAGATGCATTCCTGTAGAGCTAACCTAACATACAACCATCATCATCATCCTTTGTGTGCTATTAGACGTCACATAGGGCTCGCATTCGATTCCTCCACTCCGCTCTATTCCGTGCAACTCTCTCGATTTCCAACATGGAGTTCAGGCCAGCATTTATTGCCTCTTGTAATAATATTCTTCTTCGTTTCCCTTAGACGACCGTTGTTTTTTTTTTTTTTGTTTTTTTTTTTGTTTTTTTCAATTATGTGCCTATTTTGTAATTTTCTGCTCATTTCGTCTCAAAGTGTGCCCAATATATCTCCACTTTTTTTTTTTTTTTTGGGGGGTCTTTCTGCAGTCGATACAGGTATTTGTCCAGACATTTCTCTAATCTCCTCACTCCCTGTTAAATTCATCCCATTTTATGTTCATGATTTTTCTCAAACATTTATATTCAATTGTATTTAATCGTCGTACCTTATCTTCGGCGGTTCTCCAACATTTGCTGGCATATGTTGTTAGAACTGAAATAACGTTATAAATAAAGATTCATAGTTATGTCTTAAAGCTGTATAATTTGGAGCTCCATATTTTGTTCCGGCTTTCAAAGATTGTTGTTACTTTGCCAATGAACTCAATATATTGTAATGCAAAAATGAAATTTATAAGTAAGATTTAAGACTACTCCCATATCTACCCTACCTATTTAAGAACAATATCACGGTAAACCAAATCAGACTGCTTTTAACAATTTACAGGTAAGTGCCAGTTGACTTACGGCGGTCGAACGAAATGACAGAATTTATCCCTAAATGGCTCCGTGCACAACTGCGTGAAGATCCTGCTTCAAGATAAGGCACGAAAAGAGAACGCAGTCTTTCGGATAATGTCACGTGCTTGACTCTTGGTACGTAGCTGAGAAGGATTGTGTCTTTAGAATTATTTACCACACATCGAATAAACGATTACTAAAACCAGCAGAGGCTGTATCAATAGAACTGAACTCTACACACGAAAGCCTACGAAAAGGTACATGGAAATACAGAGGTTCTAGAGACGCTGGGAATTAAAGGAGAGTTTCTGAAAGACATAGAATGGGGACAAATGAAATGTTTCTGATATTTTAAAAGAAATACAGCTTATAAAATCCACATGAGATGGGCGAGCTGAGGACAAGCGAACCAGGAGCAGAAGGCGATACAAGTGGGAGGATGAAGTCGAGAGATGGACGATCAGGATGTACAAGATAGACGGCGTTTTAGATGGATTTAAGCCAACCCTCACTGTGGAGATGGCGCACGACTGACTGACTGACAGACCGATTGACTGATTGACTGACTTGGGCCTAATCCATTAAACGTGTACCAGTTCAGAGAGGCGGGCATGCCCAGTTCCTAACCTTTTGAAAATAAAGGTTTGTTAGTCAGTTCCCTGTTTACGCTTTTAAAAAAAAAAAAGGCAAGGAAATAAAACATGGATTCGTCGATGAAACAAGAGTTTGCACATTAACACACAAACAAACACACTGACAACCCATGCATTTGCAGTTCGTCCTTTCCATGATTTCCCTTCGAAGGATTAACACCTGGAGGACAAGATTCCTACATGCGAAAAATCACGCTAAGCCTTGTTCAACTATATGATTATACTGGGACCCCGAGTGTAACTTAATAAACCGAAGTTCGGACCGAGCGGATGTAGTAAACATTTGTTTAGTGTTTATGTTTAACTGTATTCGTCCAGGGTTGAACATCACAAAGATAAGAATCAAACAGGCACCAATCTCGGAAACCCCGCTCAATATCTGAGCCATACAGCAAGGTTATACTTGGGCATCCCAAACCGGGGAGGAAGTAACCTGTAGACTAGTGAGGGTGGGTCTGAAGATGTGAGCAACTTATGATAGTGGTAGTGGTGGTGGTGGTGGTGGTGGTGGTGGTGGTGGTGGTGGTGGTAGTGGTGGTGGTGGTGGTGGTGTTTGCTTAAAAAATCGTCACGTTTAAACAGCATCCCTAGAAGGGGAGCGTTAGGTTATTAATGTGATTAGGTTATATACAAAATCAAATGGTTAGCACTGCACGCCAAGAGCGCTGAACAAGACCCCTGCAGTGTGGATGTGATCGAAGGAGATAGACCCAAATTCTGTCCCCACCGAAGTCGTCTACCGGCCAGTCAATGGGCGATTCAGTTGTGTATGAAATACTATCTAGGCCAGCTACGAAGTCGTCTACAGGCGAGCCATTGTACATGACTACGGCTTGTGTACTCACCCAGTCTCCTCCATTGTAATTATTTCCGGTAATAACATTACTTACTTCCGTTTCCGTGATTTCTAATTTGGGAGCTGAATTTTATGGTCCATCCGTTGCCCTAGAAGTAAGGAAAAGAATTCTCGCACGCTATATAGTGCCAGTTTTAACATACGGCTGTAAATCCTGGACAATTAATAAATAAACAAGCCGAACAATATCTTGAGGCCTCAGAGATGTGGATTGACAGACGAATGCTTAGAATTCCTTGCACAGTTAAGAAAAGCAACCCATAAGTTTTGAAAGAGGCGAGTGCTCAAAGACAACTGATCACAAACATCAGAAAGAGACAGTCATCATTTTTTGGTCATGTTATGAGAAGAGGGAAACTTGAACATGCTGTGACTACTGGACAAATATGTGGAAAGAAAGACAGAGAAAGACAGTGTGAGAAGATTCTTGACAGTTTTTTTTGTCGTGGCATGGAGAGGTGTCAGCACACGAACTGAAGCACACAGTTGTGGATTAGGGATTAGAAAGGATTATCATCACAGCACTCAGGACATAGGTTCTACGATCTCCTCCTCAAAAGCTCCACAAGTGTAAAACGACTGATGAGGCCTGTTTTCTGTCGGTTAATGAAACGTCTTGTCCCCTCAGTGAAATGTTCATTTCTTGCAGCTCCAGGCTGCACCCCCATGTCCATCAGTCTAGACAGGGATACGGTGTCATGTCCTTTGGCATGCTCCACGGTACGGTAAGTGCAGCGCAAGGCATTGATAACATCACTTCTGTCCAG